GGGGGGGGCAAGGATTTTTGCTACCGGTTCTCCGAACCACCCGCCACCATCGCTACCGGATCGGGTGATCCGGTCTGAACCGGGAGCATTTCACCCCTGGTTTGTACCCACGGAGGTTTCGGGGTGTCCTGTAACAATAGAGAGAGATGCAGCCAGTTCATGGGTTACAAAATTGTGGAAACCTTTTGGGAAAAGTGTATTTTCTAAAACTAGCTAACACCACCACTTTTTTTGGGGGGGAGTAGTACCAGGGGTGAGTTCCACTTACCTTTACTACCGGTTTGCAACAGGAGTACGCGCGCGTTTCTGCGCACGCGCAGATTGTCAGTGATGACGTCGGGGCGGTTGGGTGGAGCCTCCCGCCATTACTACCGGTTCACAAGAACCGGATTGAACTGGGAGCAACCCACCACTGAGCAGTACCCTGAAATGATATATCAATGGAAAGATAATTTAATCAAGAACACAATGCAATCACTTTTATGAAGGATTTGCTATTAGAATAGCAGTTACCGGATAAAGAAGAAAAGTGAAACACATAGAAAAAACGAGATATGCAAAAACTATCACCACGTCAGCTAATACTTAGTTGGGTAACCTTCAGCATGAATTACAGCCTTACAATGTCTTCCCATGGAGTGAACCAAGTCTTTGAGTTCTGCAGCTGTTCTAATGTGAAACCAAGATTGAATGGTTGCTTCTATTAACCGGGTTTTATGGTTTTATCGCTTCTGACTAAAAAGTTTCTTTAGTCGGCTCCATAGATTTTCAATTGGGTTAAGGTCTGGGCTATTCCCAGGCCGTTCCAGCAGTAGAATAGGATTATCTTGAAACTCCAAAAAAAAAAGTAGTGTTATTAGGCATCAAAACCTCCAAAATACACTTTTCCCAAAAGGTTTCCACAATTTCGGTCACTCCTGTATCTGAAGAGCTCCGGATGGAATGGTTGCAGCTGGCTCACCAGAGGTATTTGTGCAAATGCATTCCTAGGCACAGCTGTCCTCCAGAGACAGCTGAGGATAAGCAGGCCCTGGCAGACCAGGAATCTCAATTCTTGGGTCTGGTTTCCTACCAGTTCGACAAGCACATCTGCTAATTTAATTCGAGCGTCTTCACTTTCATCCAGCTCGTTGACGGAACCTGAGGTGACAGTCAAAAGAGTATCGAGTGATTCCTGGGAGTTTAAACAGCGAAGGGCTAGAGGTCCTGAACGCATTAGAAGCATCTCAATCCAACACTCAACTTGTAATAGGATGATTGCGTTAGCAAAATCGAGATCAGGTGAAGTTCTAGTACCGCTTTATAAAGCCTTCGTAAGACCGTGCTTGGAAATATGGCATCCAGGTCTGGTCACAATATTAAAAAAAAGAGGTTGAGACTCTGGAAAGAATGCGGCGAAGCTCAGCAGAAATGATTAGAGGGCCGGAGGCTAAAATATTTGAAGAAGAGTTATAGGAATTGGGATGTCTAATCTAATGAAAAGAAGGACTTAAGGGAGACATGAAAACAGTGTTTCAATATTTAATAGGCTCCTATAAAGTCGAGCGGGTCAAACTATTTTCCAAAGCACCAGAAGGCAAGACAAGAAACAATGGTTGGAAACTAACCAAGGAGAGAAGCAACCGAGAACTAAGGAGGAATTTTCCTGACAGTGAGGACAATTAACCAGTGTGGGAAGCTTGCCTTCAGAAGTTGTGGGTGGCTCCATCACTGGAGGCTTTCAAAAAGAGACTGGACAGCCATTTGTCTGACGTGGTATAGGATCTCCTGCTCAAGAAGACTTCCAAGGTCCCTCCAACTGTATTATTCTGTGTTCTAATATCATGTATTTAATATGGGAGGTGAGATGAAACCAGTTTGATGTAGTTGAACATGCACCTCCCATCCAGTTCCGAACAGAAGTCATCCTACAAGGTGACCATAGTCCAGGGGTGAAATCCAGCAGGTTCTGACGAACCGGTAGCGGAAATTTTGAGTAGTTCGGAGAACTGGCAAATACCACCTCTCGATGGCCCCAGAGTAGGGTGGGAATGGAGATTTTGCAGTATCCTTCCCCTGCCACACCCACCAACCACACCATACCCACCAAGCCACGCCCACAGAACCGGTAGTAAAAAAATTCTCCCGCGGCTCTGCCCACCCGCCCCATTCCCCGGAGTTGGGGAATGTACTATTTCCTGACTCCTACTGCTCACCTTTCTCCCGCAGCTGGCTGTCAGGGAAGGCAAGCGCCCAAAAGTTACCGGAGTCGCTCATTCAAGGAGAATGAGCGACTCCAGTATTTTTGACTTCCCAATCTAGCCTGCTGCCATGAACTTAATACTCTTTTGGCATGGATTCTTAAAAATTGCACAGCCTAAAAATTGTGTTTTGGTGCCCACAATTTTCTTCACTTCGGATCTTTAGCCTCCAAATTTCCCTTAACACACTTTTTTTTTTTTGCTCTGCTCCCAGTGGTTTTATGGTCATCTTTATTTCTAGGTCTTCCGTGCACCTCTTCTAGCCCATTTTTCAATCTAATGGTTCCTTAGCCAAGCAACCTTCCAATTCACCCAACAGCGCTCAGAAATTCTCTGATCCTTTTTCTTCCGTTTCCAATCTTCTTCCCTATCCTTGATTTCCTTCTTCGGGCATTTCGTTTTCTCTGGCTCAGCACTGTTCTTATTGTCCTTCTCTATTTTATCCCCTACGCTGTGGTTCTTTCAGGCTGATCATTAACCTGAGCTGTCAATCCCACTCTGAGATTTTGCTTCCTTTCCGTCTCTCTGGAAGCACAACCTGCAAGTTAAATGCCATGTTTTTTTTCTCCCTCTCATTTTCTGGCTGTGGATGCACCATGACATCACCTCTGGTCAATCAGCGCTAGAAACTTAAAATTTCAAACCAGAAGATACCCCCTGCGGTCTACTTCTGCTATCGGCCAAAGGCCAGATTCTTAGTCCTACCTGGAAAGTGAAATCAGAATGCAAATATAATTTCTGCCACATTCCCCACCACTGTCCCAAAGGTGGTTTTTCAGGAGGCAACTGGACTTCCTTTTCTTTTCTTTTTTGATTTGATTTATATGCCGCCCTTCTCCGGAGACTCAGGGCGGCTTACAATGCGTTAAGCAATAGCTTTCATCCTTTTGTATATATTTATACAAAGTCATCTTATTGCCCCCATAATCTGGGTCCTCATTTTACCCACCTTTGAAAGGATGGAAGGCTGAGTCAAACTTGAGCCTGGTGAGATTTGAACTTGCAGTAATTGCAGGCAGTTGATGTTAAAAACAGTGCACAGTTAATAACAGTGCTTTAGTCTGCTGCGCCACCAGGGACTTTTTCTTTTGAAGACGTTTCGCTTCTCATCCAAGAAGCTTCTTCAGCTCTGACACAGGATAGTGGGGAATGGAAGGATTTACTCCTTGCCACCAGCTATACAATTTTAGTTATACAATTTGGGATGAACACCCTTGGAATGGTGTGGGAGTAGGAATGGATTTCCAGAGGGAAAAAAGTGCAGACTATAGGAACCGTTTGCACCACTCCGGTGACCCTGAGGACACAGATAAACCTCCAAGGGCTTCAAGGACCCTCTAAAAGGATGCAAATGACCAGCTGTCTGCAAGGAATACAGTAGTTTCCGCTACCGGTTCTGCAGAACCTGCTGGATTTCACCTCCTGCCCTCCCACTTTTGCAAGCCCAGACCTCGCACGAGCCCCCCACTTTTTTTTTGCTCAGCTAGGGATCATGCACAGCCTTGCAAAGCTTCCCCATCCTAACAGCCTCTGAGATCACGTCGGGAAGGGGTGGCGCGCGCGCGCACACGTGTCTCCCGCATCCCAGGGCGGGCAACCCGTGCAAAGTGGCTTCTCCACTTCACGGGGGGGGGGGGGAAGAGTCTCGACGACTCCCCTCTCCTTCCCCCCCCCACCCTCCACGCAGGTTGGGAACCATGGGACATGTCGTACGCCCAGAAGTTCTAGCGGGGCGAGCGCACCACCGCTTTTCTGAAGTTTCCCCGCGAGGGGGACTACGGGGGGGGAGGAGGAGAAACGCTGCGCGCGCATCCGAGGACGAGCGTGCGCCCGCGTGAGAGAGTGAGGGAGTGAGGGGGAAATGAAGAACGCTGCGCGCGCATCCGAGGGCGAGCCTGCGCGCGCGCGTGAGAGGGAGAGAGAGTGAGGGAGTGTGCGGAGGGGGGAAGAACGCTGCGCGCGCATCCGAGCGCGAGCCTGCGCGCGTGCGTGACAGAGAGAGTGAGGGAGAGAGAGAGTGAGGGAATGTGTGTGTGTTTGTATGGAGTGGGGGGGGAAGGGAAAGAGAGAGAGAGAGAGAGAGAGAGAGAGAGAGTCAGCGCGGCCTCGCCCTTGTCGCAGCGAAGCGGAAGAAGGGGAGCGGGCGGAAGACGTCACCGCTACGGCGGCGGCGAGGAGGACGTGGGAGGGGGGCTCTCTCTCTCTCTCTCTCAGGGAAAGGAAGAGAAGAGGGCGGAGCTTTTAAAAGTTCTGAGGGGGGGGGGTAGAGAAACGAGCTTCCGGCACGGCGCGCGCGCGCACACGCGCCCGCGGTGATAGTGGGAATGGGTTTTTTTTTTTTTAATGGGGGGAGGGGAAATTTTACTTTTTATTGTTGAGTTTTAATTGGACTTGTTGTTCTTGTTTATTGCCGTGAGCCGCCCTGAGTCCTTGTGGAGAAAGGGCGGCGTATAAGTCCGATAATTAAATTAAATTAAAATAAATTAAAATAAAATAATAAAATAAAATAAAATAAAATAGTGTTGGGAGGAGGCAGGGAGGGGTGGGGTTAGGCGCGCGCCCGCAGGCAGGTGACTGCCGGAAATTTGGCGGCTGAGGAGAAGGAGGCGCGTGAGGCGAAATCTGAGCGCGAAATCTGAGGCGGGGCAGAGCGCGAGGCCAGGCCAGGGCGGCGCGCGCGCTTCTCCCCCCCCCCCCCCTCTCCTCTCCTCTCTCTCTCTCTCTCTCTGTGGGGGGCGCGCGCATGCGTGCGTGCCTCCGTGCGCGTGCGCGTGGACGCCTGCGCCTCCTGAGCGTCTGAGGGGAAAGAGAGAGTGAGGAGAGAGAGTGAGGAGAGAGGCGGACGGACGGACCGACGGGCGGAGGAGGAGGAGGAGAAGGCAGAGCGGGCTGGGCCTGACGGCGGCGGCGGCGGCAGAAGCAGGAGGAGGAGGACTCGGGGCGGAGAAGATGGCGGACGGGGACAGCGGGAGCGAGCGAGGCAGCGGGGGAGGCGGCGGCGGCGGCGGTGGCGGCGGCGGAGGAGGAACCGGAGGCGGCGGAGGCTTCCAGGCCCACCGAGGCGGCGGTTCTGGCCCCGGCCCCGGCCCCGAGCAAGAGACGCAGGAGCTGGCCTCGAAGCGCCTGGACATCCAGAACAAGCGCTTCTACCTGGACGTCAAGCAGAACGCCAAGGGCCGCTTCCTCAAGATCGCCGAGGTGGGCGCCGGAGGCTCCAAGAGCCGCCTCACCCTCTCCATGGCCGTCGCCGCCGAGTTCCGAGACTACCTGGGAGACTTCATCGAGCACTACGCCCAGTTGGGGCCCAGCAGTCCCGAGCAGCTGGCTCAGGCGTCCCCGGGCGGAGGAGAGGACGGCAGCAGCGGAGGCGTCGGAGGGCCTCGCCGGGCTTTGAAGAGCGAATTCCTGGTGAGGGAGAACCGCAAATACTACCTGGACCTGAAGGAGAACCAGCGGGGACGCTTCCTCCGCATCCGCCAGACCATCAACCGAGGGCCCGGAGGCGGCGGCGGCGGCGGGGCCGGCTTCCCCGGGGGCCTCCGGGCCTCCAGAGCGGCCAAACCATCGCATTGCCGGCTCAGGGCCTCATCGAGTTCCGCGACGCTTTGGCGAAGCTGATCGACGACTACGGCGCCGACGAGGACGAGCTGGGCGGCGGCGGGGGTCCCGGAGGGGGTCCCGGAGGAGGAGGAGGAGGCGGCGGAGGTGGAGGCCTTTACGGCGAGCTTCCCGAAGGCACCTCCATCACGGTGGACTCCAAGCGCTTCTTCTTCGACGTGGGTTGCAACAAGTACGGCGTCTTCCTGCGAGTCAGCGAGGTGAAGCCGTCTTACCGCAACGCCATCACCGTCCCTTACAAAGCCTGGGCGAAATTCGGCGGGGCTTTCTGCCGTTACGCCGACGAGATGCGAGACATCCAAGAACGACAACGGGATAAGCTTTACGACCGGCGTGCGGGACCGGCCGGGCCGGGCAGTGGAAGCGGCGCAGGAGACGACTCCGATGGGGATGATGTGGATGACGATTGAGAGCCTCCCTCCCTTCCTTCCTTCCTCCTCTTCTTCCTCTTCTTCTTTTCTTCCTTCTCTTCTTCTTCCTCTCCCCCCCCCCCGCCATCTCTCTTTCCTTCCCCCACTACGCAGGGAGGGGGGGGTTCCATGGACCGGGCAGGAGGAGTGGATGGAAATAGGGTGCAAGCCCATCCTAAGCTTCCTTCTCCCCTTAGGGCAGTGTTTCTCAACCTTGGTAGCTTGAAGATGGGTGGACTTCAACTCCCATAATCCCCCAGCCAGCAGCGCTGGCTGGGGGATACTGGGAGTGAAGTCCACCCATCTTCAAGCTACCAAGGTTGAGAAACACTGCCCTAGGAGGAGGAGAAGAGAGAGAAAGAGAGAAGCCCTGCCTGCCCTGCCTCCACCCACCGCTTCTGGAGCAGCCCCTCTCCCGAAATTGCTTCCTTTCCCCACCCTGTTGTTGCCCCTCACCCTCCCTCCAGGATACAGCATCTGCCTGTGAGTTGGCCCAGCTTTAAGCTCTCACCCCACCCCACCCCAGGCTTGCCATCCTCCTCGCCCCATAGAGAGAGAGAGAGAGAGAGAGGAATCCGGGTGACCTCAGTTAACCTCCGTCCTGGCCCGCTGAGTGGAGGAAAAGGGGATCCTTTCCTACTGTGAAAACTGGATTCCTTTCCACCACTGATCTGCTCCGAGCTTCCCAAGGCTTTCTCATCTTGCCCCCTGAAATATGTGGCGTCTTTTTTTTTTTTCTTCTTCTTCTTCTTCTTCCCCCCACCCACCCGCCTGCCTCTCCCTTTCTTTTTAATTTATTCGGGAGGGGGGCGAAATGGGGGAGAGCATTTTCATCTGATCTCCTTCTCCCTTTTCTCTGGGTGCCCTCTCCCCCCTGCTCCCCCCCCCCGCCTCCTGCATTTTGAGATCTCTTCCTCCTCCTTCCTCCGCTCTCAAAACCAGCATTCTGGAGACTGCATGGCCATCGAGCACAGTCGGAAAAGGAAGAAGAGAAGCTGGCACAGCTATCTAAATCCAGCAGCCTAACCGGGCAAGTTGTTTTAAAAAAAACAAACAAACAAAAAAAAAACCACCAAGGATGGTGATTGTAGCCCAATGTGAAGAGGAAGGTTGAAGCCCAAGGCAGATGGGAAAGTTGAAATTGGGGGAGGGGGGGCGAGAGACAGGAAAGATGGCTGAAGCAACCCTGAGAATGTTCCTATGGGTTGGAGAGGGGATGAAGCCTATATTTGGACCAACGTCCACTCTTCTCCTCCTAAATTTTTACCCGTAAAGCTACAGGTGCCTGAACTGGAATTGATATGAAATAATTATTCTAAAGTTGGCAGGTCATAATGAGGTTTTTTTTTCCCCTTCTCCTCCTTAGGGGTGGGGGGGTTTGCAAACAGGCAGGTTCAAAAGAAAAAAAAAAGGCATAAAGCACAAGGAATGCAGAGTGGACTAGTTGCTGCTCACTGAAGTTCTTCCCCTTCTCTCTAAATAAGGCGAAAGAGCAAAATGGCTTTAGGCTTTAGTAGGAAGTAAAAATTGGAGCTGCCTTTCTCTGGGCTTTTTTTTTTTTTTTTTTAAAGATGATCTACTCCAGTAAGGTGGAATCTGTTCTGCAACTCGCCGGGTTTGTAACCACAAAAAGCATTAAAATCGTAATCTGGTAAAAGAGAAAGAATGTGAGGCTTCGAGTCTTAAAAAAAAAAAAAATATGAGAGGGAAACGGAAAGCTGCTTTCACCTTGCAAATAAATGGACATGATCTATGAAAATAGACACCCAAGAACCTCAGGTCCAGAAGTCCAGCATCTGTTGTTATTTTAACAAGATTTTTTTTAACAACAAGAAGAGAACAATCCATTTCCTCAGTACCTCACGTTAATGTTAACAGCAATGGATTGTTCAGAGCACCGTCTGCCCTATGGGAGGTTCATCAACACCATCAGAAAAAAAAGGAGCAGAATCAAGCCAAGTTCTGTGACTATGAACACGAGCAGCATTTTACCACCTTCAAATTTTACTACAGACTGGCTACTGCCTATTCGTCCAGTTGTCTTTCCCAAGCAGAGTTGGGTCTCCCCACCCAAAGAATTGCCTCATCTATATTTTAAATGGATTCTTACCTAAAATGATATTTTTTTAAACAAATGAAGTCAGTCCTATTCCCTCTAAAAAAAAAAAAAAGTGTTTTTAGCTACAACATTATATACTAGCAACTTTGAATTGAATGGAAATTGCGTACTGTTCATTACAAAGTTTCAGGTATTGTTTGTGTGACATCTTAAAAAGAGGCAGGTAAAGCTTCCTCTACAATCTTTTTAAATTGTGCATGCCTGTCCTTTATTTGAGCTGCCTTTTTTAATTTATTGCATACCCTTATTTACCTTATTTTGGTATTGCTCTTCTCTACACTGTCTTTGTTTTGTATTTATTAGAAAGCAAAGAGGCGTATAAAAGGCATTTTCCTCACTTGGTTCTTGCTGCAGTAGGGAAATTGGCTGGAATTTTTCTAAAAAAAAAATAATAAATTGGGTTTTGCTACAGTTATTATAAAGCTCAGCAAATGTCAGATTAGTTTATCACAAACATTGATTGTTTATTTTAAAAGCTGTTTTCTTTATTCCATGCGTTCATGGTAGATCTTATATCCTTGAAAAAAAAAAAAAGAAATCCAACCTTTCTTTCCATTTTTCTCCGTTGCAAAGAGCTTGTTTCCTGAATTGTAATGGGAGCAATAGTATTTCTTGATGTTTTAATTACATCCATATACTTGTACTGTATTTTGTACTCTCCGAGGCAGCTGTTTTCAATAATGTCCTGCTGTATTTACCTATGTAATTTTTATTTTTATTTTTTTGGTTCTATTGTATTTAGTTCTTTGTTGCGGAGAACAATATTCACCCACAAAAAAAAATTCAGCGTACAAGGATCGCAGCCTGGCTAGGACTGCAGAGAACTCTGCTTTTAACTAATGAGACTTTAAAAGGCAGCAATGAAAATGGAGGCTGCAAATGCTTAATACCGATTGCTGTAACTCTTCATTCAATTTAAAACAGTGTATAATACTTGTATAGACCAACATTTTTTTTTTTTGTTGCGTTAGTGGTAATCGATTCCCTCCCCTCCCCCCCCTTTTTATTATTTTGTTTTGTTTTGTTGCTCAGCTGCCATGAGCCAGTTCTTGCAAAGATGCAGTACCTCTCCTCTTCAGGAGAACCTTTGGTGTGTGTGTGGGGGGGTGTTTTGGGCTGAATTGTAGTAACTAGCCTTATTACATGGTAGTGGCAGGGATTTTGACTGCCCCTGGCCAGTGACTATAATAAGCTATAATTAGCTGCCCAAAAAGTATGTGGAAGAAGCGGACAGAAGCATATCAGTTGTTTAAGCAAGGAGTGTTGCCATATATGGTGTTGCCTTTGGCAACCAAGATGGGGCCATTGCAGACCAGCTAATACTGATACCGAGTATACCAAGTGATACATGACCCCCTTCAAGGTGTGCAGTTAGGGTGACAGTGCAAGATGCCAGTGGGGATTACTAAGGTGTTGGGCCTGCTTGTGCTCACGTATAAGTTAGAGGCGTTTTAACTGATTCCGCAAATGTTGAGGCTATCGTGCTACGTTAGGTTAATGCCCAAGAGTCATTTTAGGGAGGAATTAATTCTGGTGCCACAAGCTTTGCTTAGATGCAGCATATTTCAGCGGGGAAACCATCCCTTCTGCTTGTTGGAGAATGGGGAAAGAGTTATATATATATATATATTCCTTTCCCCCTTGTAGAGCTTAAGATGTCTGGGCTTAAACCACAGTGGAGGCTGCAGATACTTTTCAAATTAATTTGACCTCTGTTGGAGAGGGCGCCTCCATTACTTACGGCTAAGCATTTAGAAACCTCTGCCTTCCCAGCTGCTAGCACCATCTTGCACAGACCATATCTGAAAGTATTGCATCCCTGCTCTCTACGTCTGGTAGTTCGCCTCAGCGACCAGCTTTCTGCAGATTGCAAGCGGGCACCTTTGGTGTCCCGTTCGGACGAGTCGCTATTCACGCGGGGGTGGGGCCGTGTCCAACCACGTTAGGAAAAACCCATTACCCTGGAGATACAACCCAACGCCGGTGAACTTTAGTATTCCTGTTATACTCCCGTGCTTAAATGTCCATTTTGAGTAATGAAAAGCTTCTCTATTCTCGGTGCTGCAGTTTTAACTCATATCCTTGATCTCTTTCCTGCAGCGATGTTCGTGGACCGTGTGCCGGTGCGTTTTGCAAGCTGCCACATCCTGCACACCTAAAAAATGGGAAACAAGCTTGACGTCCCACTTGAAGTTTGGGAGTTGAGCTGTGGAACGTGAGGTGTGTCGAATCGAGGCGGCTTGTGGACTGCATTGTCATCTTTACGTGTAGATTTTGTAGAGGTGTGGGGGAGGGGGGGAATGGGTAACCCCTGTATCTGGCATTGCCCTTCGAATGGTGCATCTGCTGTACAAACGAAATGTAAATCTTGTATAGCACCAAAAATTGTAAATAGGCGAGACATACAGGTATAAACGCCCATAGCTTTAGCTCACATCTAGTTATGGGCCATGTTCCTATTTCCATAGCTATCTGCTTCAGAGTGATTGCAGGCCCTAACCCAGGAGGCTGCATCTTCATTTTTTTCCTCCAAGAGAAAGCAATTCCCGTTGCTTACCCTGGAATCCTCTTTGCACAAAAAAAAAATCAAAAAAAATAATAATCACAGATTTATTTTTTTTAGTAAGATTTTAGCTTCTGCTTTAGTGTGTCTCTAAAATACAACTTAAAACGATCCTGTCCTTGCTTGTACTTTTCAGGATAATGGGCGCAAGAGGCAGGTTTTCAAATAAACCCCTCATATTGAGTGGCCCCTTTGTTGACTGCACGCTTCAGGTATTGGAATAGCTGAAGTTGGGTTTTGATTTACTCCCGTCATTAACAAAACAAAAAAAAAAAGAAGGTGTAATATATTTGACTATACAAGACATCTGAAAAGTGACTTAACTCAGGCTACTTTTCTCGTGTGAGGGTGGCAGTTTTGTGATTTTGGTAGAAAATTGTTCATTGCATAAACATGCTTTTGGACCTCTCAAAGTTTTAATAGAAAGATGGTGGTACTTGATCTGATGCACAATTTAATCTCTCAGCAGATATTCGCTTTTTTTTTTGTTTCTTTTTTTTAAAAAAAAAAAAACAAAATGTGGCCTTGACTCTTCAAAGGAGGAAAGAAAAACTTGCTTTCCCTGTATGTAAGTGGCACTTTTTTTTGGCTTCAAAATTATTCCGATTCTGCAAGTTCTTCGTAAACATGATATTGATATGCTTCCTTTTATAAACAGGTGAAATGGTCGATGTATTGAAATATGTTTGCTATGAATTTAGTTTTATAAAGGAACAGGAATGCCTGAGGCTAAATACCTAAAACCTAAAGGACCATTATGCTCTTTTTAAAATAGCAGTAATCACAATTATTTCTGAAGAAACGCAGTGTAGATCATTTTAGTTCCACCGAGCACAATCCTGCAAAGGCACAGCAGCTACAGTACCGACTGAATGGGTTTATGTCAGACGCCTTGTAATTTTCGTAGCATTATCTGGGGGATGGTTTGATAGGAATGCTTCCAGATACCTAGTGCCCTTCCTTCTCAAAATTTCAAAAAAAAACAACTGTAGAAAGAAGACAGCAATCAGGTTTGCTGTGCAGTGAGTGACAACTCTGCGCATGGATGTTCCCAAGTCAGTACAAATACCAAGCAGCGACAGGTATATTTCTTGATTCTTTGTTTTACGCCAGTGAACAACCATGGTGTGTAAATGCATAATCTTCACGGCCGCTTGGAATATAATCTCTGGTAGCCTTGGTTTCCGGTGTGTGAGAGGTTTTCTGAAGTCTTGCCCTCTTGTCGGTATTGCTGCTTGCGATTGTTTAGTGCCAGCAGAATTGCAATAGTTAGATGTTGTGCCTGAACATTCAACTGAATCGTTTTGATTGAGGAATTTTTTTTTCCCCCCTTAAATTTTGCACAGATTGCAATGATTTAATAGATTATGACTACAGGTGACAGAAAAGTCTGGTTGAAGTGAAATAATTCGCATTCCCCCCCCCCGCCCCACTTTTGCAGGTTCCAAGAAACCTCAGCTTTTGCACTTTGTAGCTTTTATACCCATTAGTGATCACACACACACACACACACACACACACACACACACACACACACCACACTCACTAAGATTATGCTTCGTTTTGTTTTGGAGATAATGTGACATTCAGGAGAGGAACGTAGCAAAATCCAATAGCTGTCTCCTGCAGGATTAAAAGAAACGTTTAATATCTGAAGCAAACATTCAAACATCAGGATGTAACCATGGATGGATTACTACCTCTTATACCTGTAAAATCACGGTTATCTGCAATGGTGCTAGACTAATTTCACTTTAAATATACTTAACATTGCTTCTCTGTTGTAATGTATAGTAAGGTTGGGTGGTTTTTTTTTTTCCCATTGTGAAATTCCCTATTCTGGTCTAGACATTAAAGCAACTATCATGTACGGTTGTGTAAAAAAATAGAACAGTTACCAAATGGAGATGCAGTTACCAAGTGGAACAGCAATTTTTTACTAGCTTGACCTAGATTGGATTTTTTTTAGAGAGCAACATGTCCTCTCTATAGCCTGACAAGCCACTCTTCTCAAGGGAGCGGGTTTTCAAAATAAAGTTTGTAGCACAGAGGAATTCTACTTTGTCAAGAGAAAGAGCCTAAAATTACGCTCGGCGTCTACAATTCCACTGAATACAACGAAAGATTTCCGGCCTCTGATTTTCGGCATAAATTTCTATGATTGTGGAATTTAAACCCAGCCATGTTAATTGATTTGGGCCCAATTTTGGAAATTTGAATAAAATGATAAAGACGCTCCGTAGGAGTAGAATTCTGGCCAATGGGATTGCTCCCGATGGAGGTTTTCTATTGAGAATCATTAGCCTGCCAACGTGTTTACTTAAATAAGGAATATTGGCGAATTTACATAGGAGCGAAAGTGTTCTTTTGCTACTACTCTCTTTTGCTCCAACTCCTCCATTTTAAAATTTGACCAGGAGATACAGTGCTCACAGTTCCAAGGTCGACTAACAAAACACCAACAAAATTTTATCTCTGAAATTCGGCGTAAGGAAGGTTTAGTGTGCTTTGTCAAAGCCATTTGTAATATGCTGCTATGTAGCCTTAATATTGTAATGTATTGTGTGTGTGTATATATATGTACATATACACTTAAATGCAAAGTAAGTAACCCACGGCCAAGAAGCAGAAGGTTGCGTGGCTTGTTGAAGCTGGGTCCTGCTTTGTGTAGCCAAGATAGGTTGTATTTAAAACTTGCAGAGAGAAAATAATTTAAAACAGCAGTCGCTGCTCATCATTTTCACCTAGGCAAATGTCCAAGGCTAAATTTTTAATTTCTTGCCCTGATTTTTTTTTTTTTTTTTTTTTTTTTTTTGCGCTGAAAGGCCTGCTGGTTAGAAAATCCCCACATTTGAACTTAAGTGGGATTTACAAGCAGCATACGGCTTTTTTTTTTTCCCCATGTTTTGTTTCCCCTCTTGTGACAATTAGAAATATCGGCCCCGTTACGTTTCAATTGGAAGTCGCCATGCTAGGTGGGTTCGTGAGTTGATCTGGCTTGTGCAGAATCCCTGAATAGTTGAACCCGGCCACTTTTTGCAGGAGAAGGGATGGCAGAGTTTGGTAGATAGACACCTCCTATTCGTGAAGCTGCGGTGAACTTTTTTTCCTTCGGCACGCTGGTCTTGCGTTGAATTGAATAACTCCTCCTCCTCCTGGTACCTGGTAGTTAGTATGTTGTTGCCGAAAGTAAGAGTTTCTGGAAAGTTTAGCCAGAAGGATGGTCCTTAACACTTCTGCAAAAGAAGGTGTTTTCCTAACTGATCATCTATGGATCCGGGGCTCCCCGGTGTTTAACCAAGTGTGCTAGACAAAGCTAAGAACTCCTCGCCTCTCCGTGCGAAGGCTTTTGCACTGGTGCTTCAATTGATGCACAAGCCAGGAAAAAGCCACTTGAAATAGGTTCTCCAAAGTTGGGACGTACAAAAACCCAATGAGGTTTGAGCAGCGGCTGTTCTTGTGGTAAGGAGTTTATTCTTGCTAATGTTAACTTTGCCAGGCCTCGAAGTGCTGGCAGTCTTCCACATTCTCCCAAAACCACTGGAAGAAACGCTTTCGTTCCGATTTTGGAAACCCTGCTCTTTCTTTCTTTTTCTTTCTTTCTTTCTTTCTTTTTGCAACTTAAGTTGAACAAACATTTGCACAACGGGTGGAATTTGCAAGCACATGTCCTGTATTGGAACGACCCAATTTTTTTTTTTTTTATCCCTAAGAAAGGGGGCTGAGAAGTTAACTCAGTTCCCCTTAGTAGTTACTGTAAATCTTTCGCTGAAGTGTTTTGCCAGTGGTCAGGACGATGGAAAAAATAAATTAATAAATGGCCAAGTTATGGGGGGGGGGGACCAGTACAGCCAAGGGAGTGGAAATTTGCTGGGCCGGATGTATAACGTCAGAAAGTAAGCAAATAATTTTGAGTTTGATGTGGCATTCACCCAAACTTGTGCAAGTGATAATAGATCATATACAGACGTAATTAGCCAACCCATTTGTAAATATACACACGTTTGTACATTGTATACATAGAAACAGATGTCCGTGTACATGTGTATGTATTTATAAAATTGTTTCTCTGCTAGATGCAAAAGTAGCTCTAATTTTATATTATATTATAATATATATATATATATATACATATACACGAAAAGGCTCCCCTCTATAAATATATAAATGCTAGAAATTTGTAGTAATATAGGACTGATTTCAGGAATATCTGCTGAGAGACCAAAAAGTTCACTTTGAAGTACCTTAATTAAAAAAAAATAAAATAAAGTTTATTCCTCTTGTTTATTTTTTTATTAAAATTTAAATGCACTTTAACTGGCAACCTACATACGCAGATCTAGCTGCATGGTGCAGTTTCAGACTTAGAAATGTAAAAGTGCAGCACCCATTGAAAAGACCGACGATTCCTTTCTCACCTGCCAAGCAGAGCGCTGGAAATGAGTTCAAATCCTCCGCAGGGTCAAGAGCTGCCCGTTGTCTTGCTGCCCATTGGCTGAAGCTTAGATTCTGATTTCCCTGGGGGTGGGGGGGGGGCCGGGGGGGGTGGGGGCTAGCAGGACTGCTTTTTAAAGAGGCTGTTGTCAAAATAGGCAGGTCCTGGATTTACCACTAGCTAACTAGCAAAAAAAAGAAGAAAAAGAAGAATGTCCCCATGACCTGAATAATTCCTCATGCTAGTTGAGCGCTCCTTAAAATAGCAGGTTTTTGCAAAATGGAGTTTTACAGTCTATATTTAAAAATTGTATGTTTGTAACAAATAAAAGTATGCGGAAAAGTGAATGAACCATCCTTGGTGTAGTCTGTGTGTTTTTTTGTTGTTTTTTTTTAATGCAGTGGGGTTAGATTTTTTTCAGGTTGGAGGGATCCTGTACATACAGGGGAATTGCGGGTGGGTGTGTCTCTTGGGACTTTGATTGCAAGGTGAAATATGACCAGGTTTTTTTGGGGTGTGTGTGGGAAATAGCCCAAGTGGACGAGATAATCCCACGCAAGAGGGCTCTTCACAAAGGGTGTGCAAGGCGACGAAAAGAAGGAATGGAGTTTACTGCCAGCAACTCCTGAATTACAACTTTTATGGGGTGGGGTCGAGTTCTATTAAAATGCCATTTGAGGAACCAGAGAACTCTTGGGTTTCTGGATGGGTTAGTGCTGCCATTTTCCTGTAAATAATCTGGATTTATTCCACGCTGATAGGATTTGTTTTTAAGAGTTGCCGCCCCAGAGGGCCAGTAACACCGTTTTATTCGTTTTTGACCAGTGAGTAATAGTTGCATAACAGATTGGCTTTGCCATGTACTAAGTGATGATTTAGTGACTTAAACCAAAATCTAGTTGCACAAAATACTTCGCCATAAACCAGACCTATGAGCCATCGTGATTAGGTGTATACGATGTCCTAAACCCAAATCCCTAAAATCATTAAGGCTTAACACACTAGTGTTTTCTCAACTATGGTAGCTTGAAGATGTTTGGACTTCAACTCCCAGAATTCCCCAGCCAACATAGCTGGTTTTAGGAATAAGAACTAAATCATCATTTTAGCATAGAGCAGGGGTTCCCAACCTTGGCAACTTTAAGACTTGTGGACTTCAACTCCCAGAGTTCCTCAGCCAGCAAAGAATTCTGGGAGTTGAAGTCCACAAGTCTTAAAGTCAGAATAAGGCTTATTCTGTTTTGTTTTGTTCATATAATGAACATTATATATAATAACATATAACATCCGCCTTGAGTCTTCGGAGAAAGGCGGCATACAAGTTGAACAAATAAATAAATAATGTAGGAGAAAGGTCTGTTGGACACGTTCACTGTCTTTTAAGTTAATTGTATAATAAATAATAAAGGCAGGATGTACGTTTTAACAGATTAACAAAGTTGGAAGGGACTTTGTAAGTCATCTAGTCCAACCTGCCCCTGCCCAAACAGGAGATCCTACTCCACCGTTTATGACTAACAGCAGTTCCAATCTCTTCTTGAAAGCTTCCGGTAAATATTGAAATTAAAAAAAAAATAGTGGGAGCAGGTAGAACGTTCCAAATTTACAGAATTGAACTTGGCAATTTGGAGAACGATTAACCGATTGAATTAATCCTTTATTTGAAAATGCGCTGAGTAAAAGAAAACACCTACGACGCAAGGGTACAAAAATGAATATACTGTGCAATATTGGGCACAGAATTCACCCAGTGATTTCTTTTTGCTTTTAAAAAGCAAATACAAGTTTTTAGTCCGCGTGACTGCAAATACTTAATTCACGAAACGCCTAACCAGTCTCTGACTCAAGGAAGTCAATGTAGCCTCCCTTGTATTCCTTTTGTCACATTTCCCTCTTTGGCCTCAAAAATAGAGTGAGTTTAACAGGGAGTGCCTTGAAATCAGATGCTTTTTCTTTTAAGGCAGGTTAAAAAAAAAATTCTAGTTACAGAAGGCAGGTTTGTTTTCAGAAGTCACGGGGCTCTACTTTACAATTTTAGCAAATGGGAGGAAACTGACTTTGACCCAGTCTCTCTCACTCTCAGCCCAACCTGTTTTACGGAGGTACAACGAAGAGACACTCCTGTGTAAACTGCCTTGAGCTCACGGAAGAAATGGGTGACATAAATCTTAACAATATAAAAGTAAGCGATAACTCTGCAGAACAAAGTGCATAGGATACTATGTGCAAAAATGCTGAAAGCTGCCTGCATATCATGGGATTCTCCCTACAGATACACGGACCCTTAGTGATGATTCAATCCTGTTCTTGTTTCTCTGGGCACCACTGCCCCAATCCTTGTTGATCAAACGTTGTACGTGGGATATTGGACCCAAAGAAATACTCTGCAAAAAAGGTTTCCATGTTACGAAGGTTGCAGCTTATTCAGCTCAGGTTACAGCATTTGATACCTGTTGATTCACCTGTAGCTGGCAGACGGCTGGTAAGTGTAAAAGGCAAAACTTTGTGAGTTAGGGGAATTTGAGGTACATACTATAAGGGACGCGGTGGCTCAGTGGCTAAGACGCTGAGCTTGTCGATCGAAAGGGCGGCAGTTCAGCGGTTCGAATCCCTAGTGCCGCGTAACAGAGCGAGCTCCCGTTACTTGTCCCAGCTTCTGCCAACCTAGCAGTTTGAAAGCAGGTAAAAAAATGCAAGTAGGAAAATAGGGACCACCCTTGGTGGGAAAGTAACAACACTCCGTGCGCCTTCGACGTTGAGTCATGCCTGCCACATGACCATGGAGACGTCTTCAGACAGCGCTGGCTCTTCGGCTTTGAAAGGGAGGTGAGCACTGCCCCCCCTAGAGTTGGGAACGACTAGTACATATGTGCGAAGTGAAAAGAAATTGATTGAATCCTTTGTCACTCCAAAAGAGGCTACAAAGCACAAGTAAAGCTTGAGTAGCACATCAAGGTTCTCTATTGATAGAGTGCAGCCTCCATTGATTTAAGCCATTTTTTTTTCAATCTTACTGCTTTGCGTTCCACCTTCCAAGTATTCCACTTTCTGATATCAACCCAGAGGCCACGCTACAAACCAGAGTAAGCAATTTTATTTCAAAAGGAAATGTGGGGTGGGGGGGGGAGGAATTTACAAGAACTGGTGGAATAAAAAGATTCTTTTCTGGGCCATCATTTTTTTGCATTTTTCTCCTGTCTGCATCGTTAACAACAGAAATCTGGGGCTCAATTTGCGATTGTAAATTAAGGACTACCTGTATTTACCTCACAGAGTTGTTGTGGGAAAAATAGATGGAGGAAGGACTATTATAGGTACGCTCACTGCCTTGAGTTATTTGTAAAGATAATTAAGGCGGGATATAAATAAATAATAGGTTATTTAAAGTTGCTGCTTTTTTCCCCCTTGTATTTTGCTCTCAGCGATTTTCTTCATTATAAGCCTGAAAATATAGAAATGAGGGCTTATCAGGTTAATTACTTATAAAACCATTCTAAACTGCATAAACTACATTTTTAAAACGACAGGACGTAAAAAGCCATATGAAATTCCAGAAGCCAAAAATTTCTGAAATTTTGGAGGGCCCTGCAGATTATGAGGCCCTAAACTGTACAATAGCTTATTTATTGTATATTTAAATCAGGTAATTCACTGGCCTAAAAACCCCTTTCAAAATAATAAAACACTAGTCGGAGAAATGCGCAACGATGTACACTATTATATCCATTTTAGTAATAATTCTATTTTATTCCATCAAGACTCCTGTGTGAAACTGGCAAAGGAACAGAGCACAATTTATTGTTATGAAATCAGTTTAATATCAAAATTGCACGTGAATTTCCCCTTCCGGCTTTCACTCCGGTAATGAAGTTTTTCACTTTCTTTCTAATGGGGGTGGGGAGGTTATCCTCATGGAATTATAAACACAGTGATTAAATTAAATATCTGTAAATGGATTGCACAAACAATGCAAGTCTGCATTAGATAGATAGACAGGAGTAAAGATCATGGATTAGAGTTGTAGGTGAACAAACTACGATTTAGTAAAAAAAAAAAAACAAGTAAGAATGCTTCCTGCGGCTGTTTGCATGCTCATCCCCAAACGCTATTTAACAAACCACAATAGCGGGATATCACATAACATGGTAAACTAAAGCAAGGCCCATTATGGTTTCACATCCTGGTCTGCAGGATGCAAACCCTTAAGAGGCAGATCCGCCGGGCTCAGTTTTGAGCCATTGTGGTTTAGTTAAATTACGGTTGAGGGTTGAGAGAGGGATGCAAACACAGCCTGTGCCCAAAAACCAGGTTTTTTTTGCTTGGAAGCCAAGCCAGCTTGAGACCGAAAAGGGGAGATGGGGGGGCCCTACTAAAAACATGGGGGGGGGGCGGGAGCTCAAAAGCCGCAGCTGGATGGATTCCCACGACACTTTCGCCCCCGGGGTGGGATCAGCCTGTCTTGGGGCGATGGGCAGAGGGCAGGTGGGGAGCCTGTGTTTTTTTGGGGAGGGGGGGCACAGAGGAAGAGGAGGAAGTGCTGCAAGCCAGCAGGCTGGAAATATGGGGTGGGGGGGGCAACAGTTCACAGGAGGAGGAAGAGGAGGGGGCACTGCAAAATATGGAGTGGGGAGTCATGGTTCACAGGAGGGGGGGAGAGAGGAAGAGGAGGGGGCTCTGCGAGCCTGGCAGGCTGGAAATACGGGGGGGGGGTGACAGTTCACAGGAGGACGGGGTGGGGGATGGAGGAAGAGGAGGGGGCACTGCAAAATATGGGGCGGGGGGCGACGGTTCACAGGAGGACGGGAGGGGCGTTTGCAAGCCTGGCAGTCCGGAAATCTGGGGTGGGGGCCGAGGGTTCACAGGAGGACTGGGGGGGGTGAACGGAGGAAGAGGAGGGGGCGCTTGCAAGCCAGCAGTCTGGAAATATGAGGCGGGGGGGGTGGGAGAGTTCACAGGAGGGGGGGTGGACGGAGGAAGAGGAAGGGGCACTGCAAAATATGGGGGGGGGTACGGTTCACATGAGGATGGAGGGGGACGGAGGAAAAGGAGGGGGGCTTGCAAGTCCAGCAGTCTGGAAATATGGGGTGTGTGGGGGGGAAGAGTTCACAGGAGAACGGGGGGGGGGACGGAGGAAGAGGAGGGGGCACTGCAAAATATGGGGCGGGGGTTCACAGGAGAACGGGGGGGGGACAGAGGAAGAGGAGGGGGCGCTTGCAACTCCGGCAGTCTGGAAATACGGGGCGGGGGAGGGACGAGAGTTCACAGGAGGACGGGGGGGGGGTGGACGGAGGAAGAGGAGCGGGCACCGCAAAATATGGAGTGGGGGGCGAGGTTTTCACAGCAAGTCGGGAATGGGGGGGACGGAGGAAGAGGAGGGGCGCCGTAAAATATGGGGCGGGGGTTCACAGGAGGGTGTGGGGGGGACAGAGGAAGAGGAGGGGGCGCTTGCAAGTCCAGCAGACTGGAAATATGGGGCGGGGGGGGGAGAGCACGAGAGTTCACAGGAGGACTTGGGGGGGGCACTGCAAAATATGGGGCGGGGGGGGTTGACAGCAGGACGGGAGGGGGGGACGGAGGAAGAGGAGGGGGCAGTCTGGGGGTCGACAGGGGGATGGGGGAAAATAGGGGGCTGGGCAGGTTCACTGAGGACGGGGATGGCGGGGGGGGGAGGGAGAGGCAGGCGTCGGGGCCGCGCCTCTCCCCTCCCCAGCCCTCGGGGGGCGCGCCCCGTCCGCGGCGCTGGAGCCTCTCCCGACGCACTGCGGGCGGCGCTTCCTTCCCTCCCTGCCTCCCTCCCTCCCTGCCGTCGGCGGCCCGCAAAGGAGCCAGGCGGGCAGGGCGGCGCTCATCCGGGCGCGGGGGCGCGCTGGGCTCCCTCCCCCCCTCCCCGCCTTACCTCAGATGAACCCTCGGCTCGGCCACGGATCGATAAGCCGCGCATGCGCGCTTCTGCCCGGGCTCTCGCCACATTGTGTGCGTGTGTGTGTGTGTGTGTGTGGCCGATTCCCACGACCCCCGCTGCGCTCCCGTTTCCGATGCGGCTCGCAGGACTCGCCCGGCCCACCTAAGCCGCCTCCGACCCGGGACGGCAGCGCAGGAGACAGGCACCCCCCCCACCCCGCCCCCCCCGGGGGCTAAGCCTGAGCTGGCTGGTTCAAGCCCCGCAGCCTCGGTTAGAGGCCAGGAGGGAGGGGGGAGGGAGGGGGGCACAGGCCGCTTAAGGGGGGGGACAATGGGGCGGGGCTTCCGAGGATCAGGGCGAGGGGGGGGATGAGGGGAGGGGGCGAGAGAAAGGGCTGGCGCTCTCGCTCTCCTCCCTCCCTCTTTCTCTCTCTCTCTTTCTATCTTTCCCTCTCTCCCCCACTCCTCTCTCCTTCTCCTTCTCTCTCCCTCCCTCCCTCTTTCCCTCTCCCCCTCCTCTCACCGTACACTCCTTCTCTCCCACTTCTCTCTCTCTCCCTACAATCCTTCTCCCTCCATCCTTTCTCTCTCCCTCTCCCTCTCCTCTCTCTTTCCTCCTCCTCTCCCTCCCTCCCTCCCACTCCTTCCCTCTCCCTCTCCCCTACTCCTCTCTCTCTCATCTCTCCCACTCCTTCTCTCCCACTTCTCTCTCCCTCTCTCCCACTCCTTCTCTCTCCTCTCTCTCCCTCCCTCCTCTCCCTCTCCCACTCCTTCTCTCTCCCTCTCCCTCTCCCCTACTCCTCTTTCTCTCCCCCTACCACTCCTCTCTCCCTCTCCCTCCCTCCCTCTCTCCCATTCCTCCTCTCCCTCCCTCCTTTCTCTCTCTCTCTCTCTCCCTACCACTCCTTCTCCCTCCCTCCTCTCCCACTCCTTCTCTCTCCCTCTCCCTCTCCCCTACTCCTCTTTCTCTCCCATTCCATCTCTCTCCCCCTACCACTCCTCTCTCCCTCTTCCTCCCTCCCTCTCTCCCATTCCTCCTCTCTCTCACTCCTTTCTCTCTCTCTCTCTCTCCCTACAACTCCTTCTCCCTCCTCTTTCTCTCCCTCTCTCCCATTCCTCCTCTCTCTCTCTCTCTCCCCCCTCCTTCTCTCCCCCCCCTCTTGCCCGATCCTTCCCCTCCCCCGCTGTCACTCGGCTGTTGCGGACGTGCAGCATCGCGGCGCGGTGACGAAGGAGCGGGCCGGTCCCTGCCGCCGCCGCCGCCGCCGCGAAGGAGCCGAGCGCCCGATGCAGCCGCCGCCGGGACACTCGGCGCGCACGTAAGACCCGCCGCCGGGCTGCGAGCCGCCGCCCCCACCCCGCTCCCGCCTTGCAGCCTTCCGTGGGGACTTTCCCTCCTGGCAAAGGCGGTGGGAGAGGAAAGAAGCCCGGTGGAGCTTCCCTCTCTCGAGGCAGTCTACCTCTGAAGCTGGGAGAAGCCTGGAAAAGCAAGAGACGGGGGGGAACCACCTTATGCAAGCCTTGGCTCCTTCCGTCCCTTTGCACAGGGTCAATCGAATTATGGTTTCCTTCAGGGGGTCTCCAAACTTGGCAACTTTCAGACGGTCCACAAGCGGTGGCCCAGAGGTGGAGGCCGCGAGTTCGATCCTAGGTAGAGGCAGCTATTTCTCTCCCTGGGCACACTGAGAAGATATATATCTGCTGGGGGAAAAGAAAAACTCCTCATTGGCGACAGGGAAGGCATCCGGCCATTCAAACACTCCGCTAGCTCCATTCAGTTGCCCAGACTCCACCCCGCATTAAATGAAGATGATTAGTAGTAATATTATTAATAATAATATTATAGTTATCTTGCAGTGAGTTCTCCCGTAGCGAGTTGGCTCTGGCGAGTTGCCCCATTCCGACTTCAGAAGGGGTTTGCGCGGAAATGGGACAACTTCCTACAACCAACTTTTTTTTTTAATCAAGTTTTATTGGTTTTTTTCCTTTCACACACGCACATATTTTATGAACAGAGTATTGACCATATCGTATCTTATACAACTTATCATATCCAATTTCATTTTACATAGCTACCATTTTTGCCAAAATATTCTTTTTCCATACCTTTTTTTTAATCTTAATACTTCTATGCTTATTATATAAACAGCATCTCCATCTGCCCTCAAATCCTAGTTTCTTAACATTATTTCAGTTAGTTATCTTATCTTATCCATTGTATATTCCCTTTTAACTTTCATATTAATTCATTCTTCAGCCTAATAAATTTGAACATGCTCGGGGTTGTCTTTCTATCATTTCATCTCCCTTGTTTTACAACAATTTTTTTTCTCCTCTCCTCTTTCCTTCCTGCCTCCTTCCTCCCTCCTTCCTTCCTTCCTCTTTCCATCCTTCCTCCCTCTCTCCCTCCCTCCCTCCTTTCTTCCACCTTCCTTCCTTCCTCCCTCCCTCTCTCTTTCCTTCCTTCCTTCCTCCCTCCCTCCCATCCTTCCTCTTTCCATCCTTCCTCCCTCTCTCCCTCTTTACTTCCGCCTTCCTTCCTCCCTTCCTCCCTCCCTCCCCACTCCCTTCCTTCCTTCCTCCCTCCCTTCCTTCCTTACACTTTCCATCCTTCCTCCCTCTCTCTCTCCCTCCCTCCTTTCTTTCACCTTCCTCCCTCCCCCCTTCCTCTTTCCTTCCTTCCTTCCTTCCTTACTCTTTCCATCCATCCTTTCTCCCTCTCTCCCTCCCTCCTTCCTTCCTCCCTCCCTCCCTTCCTTACTCTTTCCATCTTTCCTCCCTCTCTCTCTCCCTCCCTACCTTTCTTCCACCTTCCTTCCTTCCTCCCTCCCTCCCTCCCTCCCTCCCTCTTTCCTTCCTTCCTTTCTTCCTTCCTTGCCACAGAAATTAAGGGCAGTTATACCAACCTTATCCACATACAGATTTTAGGATTGCTGCAAAGTATTAATTGAAAGGGTGCTAGAATCTAGTTGCTGTAGACATCTATCTATCTATCTATCTATCTATCTATCTATCTATCTATCTATCATCTATCTATCTATCTATCTATCTATCTATCTATCTATCTATCTTCCTTCCTTCCTTCCTTCCTTCCTTCCTTCCCTCCCTCCCTCCCTCCCTCCCTCATTCCCTCCCTCCCTCCTTCAAGAAATGCAGCCCTGGCTGCCTTAACTGAAAATCTCAGCCCCTCCCCCCCTCACCTTTTTGACTCAATTTGTCTGGGGATTTCTGAGAACTGAAGTCCTAACATCTTAAAAGTTGCTAAATTTTGAGGAAACCCTGGCCCACCAGAAGTCCTACAGATCCAGGGCATGTAATGAGTTCACCATTCCTGGGTCATGTAGATTCCAAAAAAAATAAAATAAAAAAAAATCAGGTTCTCTGAGCCAACCCTGTTTATTTTAACCGTTGGGTCAGTATGTTGTGTCAACAAAGCCCATTATATGATGTGTTTTGTTCCCTGCCGCTCTGAGAGGCTAAAATTGGTTCTTGGTATGAAACGTCATCGAAAGCAACGGAGAGCAAATCATCTTAGCAACCTTTTTGAAAGCAGAAACAGGAGACAAGCGGTGCAGAGAAAGTTAGCGCTGAAAACGTACCCCTGGGGTCCCTGTCCCCTTGAACCCTCATTGATGCAAAATTACTCTCTTCTCCATCTAAATCGTGGAATCTAATCCGTGGAATCATGGGACTTCATATACATTCATTAATCTTTAAAGAGCCAGTTTGCTGCAGGAGTCCTGTGAAGACAAAATCAAAGGGTTAAGGACAGCTCCTGTAGGGAAGGGAAGGATGCAAGCAATATTATTTTTAAGCCACGACGGGAACCAGGTTGGAGAAAAGAATCCTAAACCCTGGCTTGCTTCCGTTCAGACAGCCGCTCTTATTTTATTTTATTTTTTACTTTCTACAAGGCTTTCCTTTTCTCCCTCTTTTTTTTTTTTTACATTTTTATTCTTAAAACCACTATTGGCCCCATGGATGCCTCGCCTATCTTCTCTGGAAAGGACTCCTAACTGCCTTCCCTTTCTGCAAAAAGCTCCCCGCTCGCATGGAAGACACAAGATGGGTGTGTGTGTGTGTGTGTGTGTGTCAAAATTGCCAATTAGATGCATCCGTGCTTTTCAAAACAGGGGGAATAACTAGGCTCAGGCTCAACCCGTCCAAGACCGAGTGGCTGTGGTTTCCGACGTCCCGATTTAGTCAGTTGATGCCATCGCTGACTATCGGGGGCGAATCGCTGGCCCCCACGGAGAGGGCTCGCAACTTGGGCGTCCTCCTGGATTCACGGCTGTCTTTAGAAGAGTACTTGACGGCCGTGACCGGGAGGATCTTCCATCAGTTTCGCCTGATTCGCCAGTTGCGTTCCTTTCTCGATTGGGACTCCTTAAACATGGTCACTCATGCCCTCGTCACTTCCCGCCTGGACTATTGTAACGCTCTCTACATGGGGCTCCCCTTGAGGAGCACCCGGAGGCTCCAACTGGTCCAGAATGCGGCCATGCGGGTGGTTATGGGAGCGATGTGGCGCTCCCATGTAACACCTCTCCTGCGCGAGCTGCACTGGCTCCCGGTGGTCTTCCGGGTGCGCTTCAAGGTTCTGGTTACCACCTTTAGAGCGCTCCGTGGCTTAGGGCCTGGTTATTTACGGGACCGCCTGCTACCACCAATAGCCTCCCACCCACCGGTACGCTCTCACAGAGAGGGGCTCCTCTGGGTGCCATCAGCCAAACAATGTTGGCTGGTGGCCCCCAGGGGGAGAGGCTTCTCTGTGGGGGCACCCACTATCTGGAACGAGCTCCCCCCGGAGATACGGAGGATCCCGGATCTACGCACCTTCCGCCGTGCTCTTAAAACCTTTTTATTTCACCAGGCTGGTCTGGCCTAACCTTTCCCATTCTTTTTTAATGTAAATTTTAATTTGTTCTTAACCTGGGGTTTTAAATTTGTCTTGGGCTAAATTGATTTAATTCGATTTTACTTCTGCTCTTAATTTTTGCATTCTATGCGTTTTATTCTGTGCCTGTTCACCGCCCTGAGTCCTCCAGGAATAGGGCGGTATACAAATTAAATAAAATGAAAATAAAATGAAATAAATAAATAAATAAATCCCTGTGACAAGCATTTTTGTCGCTCCCTGCTTTGCAGAGTAAAAAAAAAAAAGCGAAGCGGCTTAATTGGAGAAAGGCCGAGGAACTCCCACCCCCCCCTCCAAAGAAAATCTCCACTGTGACCCCCATCTAGGGGCAGTGGGGGGGAGGAGGGCAGGGGAAGGGCATCGTTTTGTGCATTGTTTGAGGCAATGGTGGCTGGGTTGTGTGCAGATCTTATGTTCTTCTCCCTCTCCAAACAAGATGCTCTCCGGTGCTGCTGCGCTTATTGGCACAATCTGTTTTGCTAGCTGTGGGAATAGAACAGCTCTTGGGCATCGCCTCGTCCTTCAGCTGCAGCCAGGGAGCATGCTCAGTAGAGGCTGGGATGGTGGTGGTGGGTGGGTGGGGGGGTGAGCTGTGCTTCGCAGAGAGAGCCCAGGCAGCTGCCCCTCCCAGCCGCTGTCCTCAGATGCCCTCTGATGCGCTTCCATCTGTTCTCGGCTTTTCCCATGAATGAGTGCGCCAAAAAGATAAAGATTAATGGACGCAATCGATGCATGGGGGAGAGGGATGGGGGGGGGGGTCCTGAATGCTGGCTCACCACATCGTTCGAGAGACACCTGCAGGCAGCCAGGAATTGTGGCCAGGCAGCAAATAAGAGCCTCACATCGACAAAAGGAGCCCTGTTACGTGCCTCCCATCGAAGGCGACATCGTCTTCTTTTGGAATTTTGGAACCTTTTCCTTCCAGAATCCATTAATCCTCGACTTAACAGCCGTTCATCAAGTTTGAAGTTGCAGTGGCACTGGGGGACAAAAAAATGCGACTTACAAATGGTCCTCGCGTTTGCAAGCGGTGCAGCATCCTCGCGGTACCCGTCGGTGCTATGGCCGCCCCCCCCCCCCCCCAAGGATGTTCTTTCAAGGGCAGCTGAGAAAGTCAAGATAAATTATCTCCCTCTCACGATTTTTGCAGGCAAATATTGTTTGTGCATATCTAAAGAAACGCACCTCCTGCCCGGCTCCCTTTCGATGCTTTGCTCGCCCGCACACATCTCCACATGCGTAGAAGCTTCTACACTCGTGCAGATCGTCAATTATGGCCAGGGGGGCTTTTTATCAGGTTCGCCTGATACGCCAGTTGCGCCCCTTTCTGAATCGGGACTCCCTATGCACGGTCACTCAAGGACTCGTCACTTCCCGCCTGGACTACTGCAATGCTCTCTACATGGGGCTCCCCTTGGGGTGCACCCGGAGGCTGCAGTTAGTCCAGGATGCGGCCGCATGGGGGGATTATGGGAGCAACGGGGCGCTCACATATGACACCTCTCCTGCGCGAGCTGCACTGGCTTCCTGTGGTCTTCCGGGTGCGCTTCAAGGTGTTGGTGACCACCTTTAAAGCGCTCCATGGGCTGCTGGAGGTTCGCAGGGGTTCGGGAGAACCTCTTGCTCAGATTCTGTGCAGTTTGGAGAACCCCCAAATCCCACTCCTGCCCACCTTGCCTCTCCCAGGAGGCCTGTTTTGGATACAGGTAAGTGCAGGGTACACATAGAGGCTCGGGGAAGGCGAAAAATGAGCCTACTGGAAGTTTGGGAAGGCTGGAAACGGCCCCGTTTCTGGCCTCCAGAGGGCCTTTGGAGCCTGGGGAGGCCGTTTTCGCCCTCTGGAGGCTCAAGAAAAGCCTCTGGAGCACGGGGAGGGCAAATATGCCCCCCGCGCTGTGGTACAGAAGGCTGGTTAGGCCACACTCACCATGGCCACACCCACCCAGCAACCGGGCAGAGAACCCCTTGCTAAAATTTTTGAAGACAACCCTTTGATCAGGAGGATATCAGGTCTCCTGCCTTGAGCTGAAGGTTGGACTAGAAGACCTTTGAGGTTCCTTCTCGCCCTGATTCTATGTTCTGTCTAAACAGATGCAATCGCGTTGAAGCAACCAGACTGCACTCAATCTCTTGTTTCTTCCCTCTAGATCAGGGATGTCAAACTCGAGGCCCGTGGGTGAATCCGGCCCGTGGGGGTGCTTCGATCTGGCCCGTGGGGCGCCGCCCCGGAAACAGCAAAGGACCGGGGCCTCCGCCAGCGAAAACAGAGCGCGGGAGGGCTGCTTGCGTTTTCGCTGGCAGAGGGTTGCAGGAGGCCATCGCAGCCGAAAATGGAGCTCAGGAGCCCGTTTTCGCTGGCAGAGCGCTGGGACCGCCACAAGCGCCCCCGACATGAGTGACGTTGAGCTGCCACGCCCATCCTGGCCACACACGGTCAAACACAACCCTGATGCAATGAAATCGAGTTTGACACCCTTGCTCTAGATTCTTCGTCCAGGGCAGTGTTCAGCTCAGTGGCTACAGCATATCCTCCTTAATTTACTTGCTTCGTCTCTCTCTTTCTCTTCTGCAGAGGACCTTGGCCCATCTTTTATTACATTTGATTAATTTGTTGATAGCAGTAAACGCTCCTCCTTTTGCTAGAAGAGGCCTCCAAGCTACTTGGCGCACGGCACGCTAAAGTGCAATCAAATCCAATAATTATAATACAAGATAGCAAATATATATATATATCAGAGAACACAGCACTGGCAGAAAAACACGAACCCAAGTAGAGAGGCGGAAAACAAGCACTTAGAAAGTTGCTCGGTGGAGCAAACCTTCAGAACCACAAAGTACACGGCAATGAGACGTGCAAGGAATCTCTTGTGGACACCCGAGGAAGAAGCTGAACATTGTCTCCCGTGGCATTGATGCTGTCTGGCTCAGAAATGGATAGCGACCGACCATGGGTGCCTCTGCAGATCCGGCAAGCGACTTCATTTGCTGGGAACGCGAGGCAGAAATGGCGTCATTTGTGTCGTTTGCACTGATGTTGCGTCTGAGAGATGAGGGTGGCTTGCCCTGGAACCTTTTAAGAGCGCTCGTGAGACTTTGCAGAAGAGTATTGTAAATGTTCATTAGATTTAGATTGGGCGTGTTCATCGTTGGCAATTTACGACTTGTGGACTTCAACTCCCAGAATTCCCCAGCCAGCATTTTAAGACTTGTGGAGCATTTAAGACAGCGAACATTTTAAGACTTGTGGACTTCAACTCCCAAAATTCCCCAGCTGGCTGAACTCCACAAGTCTTAAAATGGCCAAGGTTGAACAAGGTTCTCCGAACTACTCAAAATTTCCGCTACCGGTTCTCCAGAACTTGTCAGAACCTGCTGGATTCCACCCCTGCTTCAATCCCATCTCCCACCCACCCGCTCGCCCACCGACCCAGCCCGTGGGGGAGAACTACAGTGCTGATCCAGCCCTTAAAGAAATCGGGGGGGTTTACACCCCTGACTTCGACTTAGAATAAACTTTAGTGTCACTTGGAATGTACACTAATCGGCCTGCAGTAAAATTAAATTTTGTTGCATACAGCTCTCAAAGGGTTGCCACCTCCAATATACACTACATAAATGTGATAAAATAATGAACAAACAAATAAATAACCACATGGCATATCCAGCTATCATTCCTCCATTTTACCTTCACAAGAACAACCGGTAAACTTGACATTTTCTAAAGTTGGTTGGCCAAAAGACAGCAATAGCCCCAAAGCCCTTCAGAGTGCATGGCGGATGAATCAGGGGTGGGTTCTACTCAGTGGTGGGTTGCCCCCGGTTCGCACCGGTTCTATAGAACCGGTAATAAAACTGGCGGGAGGCTCCATCCACCGACCCCGATGTCATCAAAATGCTTCTGCGCAAGCGCGGCCCCGTTGCGAACCGGTAGTAAAGGTAAGTAGAACCCACCCCTGGTTCTACTTAACTTTACTACCGGTTTGCAATGGGACCGCGCACGCTTCTGCACATGCGCAGAAACTTCCCGATGACGTCCAGGTTGGTGGGTGGAGCTCCCGCCGGTTTTACTACCGGTTCCTACGAACCGGTCTGAACCGGGGGCAACCCACCACTGGGCCGAATGTTAAAAATGAGTGTATTAGCCTTAAAACTAATCAAACAGGTTTGTGTTGGCTCGACAAGGGAAGCCATCAAAACGGCTGTCCTTGTGCAACTCCATAGAGGTTGGGTCGCCGTAATTAAGAGCTGGAGAGGGTGTGTGCAGAGGCCACGAGTGTCACACCTTCTAGCTCAAAAAACTAGCAAAACAGGAAAAAGAGGTCTCCTTTTTTTTCCACCTTCAAGGAGCTTTTTCCGGCCTCTACCTCAGTTGCAACTTGAAAGGGTAAAGTCCTAGGAGAAATGTTATGGATAAATTCTTAGGTCTGTAGTAAGTGGCTTTTCACCCTCCTGTCCCATTTATGAATTCTGGTGTGCGTATTTTTATTTATGGGGCCATGTATTAAAAATGCTACTGTTTTTCAGCATAAAAAGATAAAGGTAAAGGTTCCCCGCGCACATATGTGCTAGTCGTTCCCGACTCTAGGGGGCGGTACTCATCTCCGTTTCAAAGCCGAAGAGCCAGCGCTGTCCGAAGACGTCTCCGGGGTCACGTGGCCGGCATGACTCAATGCCAAAGGCGCACAGAACGCTGTTACCTTCCCACTAAAGGTGGTCCCTGTTTTTCTACTTGCATTTTTTACGTGCTATTGTGCTATTGACAGCACCTAGTTTTACGTGCTATTGACAGCACACCTAGTTCCCTTAAGCATTCATTGTGTGGTTTAGCTTCCAGATGTTTTATCATCTTTGTTCCTCTGTACTCTTTCTAAACCTGGTCTTGTCAATTCACCCCTACGAAATCTCTGGTACCTCGGAAGCAGATTCTTCCATCTTCTACCTACTCTGGGCTCTGAGTTAGGCTCGTATCCAGGAGAATTTCTGCCCGTTTGGTTTGAAATAGTTCCTGGGAACTTATTCAGCTGGCTTCTCCAGAGCGCTGGTCCTCGTTTGTTTGTGGACGAAGGCTGCCATCTGGTGCCGAATCCAAAAGGGTTGTTGCGAATGTGTTTTAAGCATTGGGTTTCACGTACCTTGATTTGGGAATAGGTAGATTTTGAATACAATTTGGAGTGGGGAGAATAGTGATTGATGGGTGTTGTCCAGAGAAGGGCTTAGAACAGGGATGTCCAACCCTGGCAAATTTAAGACTTGTGGACTTCAATTCCTAGTATTCTCCAGCCAGCATTCCCACAAATCAACATTTGGGATTTCATGGCCATCCTGGTTATTCTGGATGGAATAAGCAACTGTACATCTATTCATGCTTGCCTTTCCAAATTATTATTTTTAAAAAAAAAACCAACATTTTTAAAGTTGTAAAGCTGCCGTGGACATTTACGTATCAGAGGAAGTAGTTAAGGATTATGAGCATTGTCCAATTGGCACAGACCTTCCCCTGTGGGTTTTTCCCTCCCTGTTTCAAAGGACGGAACCAGCCCTTATCCCAAAGTTCCTTAAGTGGAATAAAAAAAAGCATTTATACTTAACATGACTTGCTTTGAAATAGATGTCTGTCGTCGCTCTAATCATCCAATAGCAAAGGGTATATCTTGGCTGCTTGAAAGCTACAGGCTTAACCAGGTTAGCTGAAGAGCGACTGAGCAGATTTGCATGGCATACTCATCTTAGAGTTCAGCCTCCCTGGTATCTCTCTGTGTGTGAGAGAGAGAGAGTGAGTGAGTGAGAGAGAATTTAACATGTGTGAACAAGTCCTTTAAAATGAATTCATTCATTAAGAAAGTCTGTTGCGCAAACATAACCACTATATTTCCACTTTAAGCCAATAAAGATTATCAGTAAAGAGGAAAGCTGACCAAAAGTGGTGGGTTGAACATTATCCCCAGAGGTCTTTTAATTATTATTTCTGATTCTTAATCA